ACAAGTTTTTTGATGTTTCTTTCGTTCTGACAGTTGTGTGATTTTAAACAATCTATCACAACCTTGCTTGCATACTTCTTGTAAATTTTCTATCATTTCAATGACATTCGTTGATGAAATTAAACCATCGCTTGGAATTGAAAAGGAACATTTTGGGCATTTTGTTTTTGCTATTTGTTTGCCGTTTAAGATGCAGTTAATATCTTGCAGTTAAAGATTAAGTTTTGTTTGAGGTGAAAGTTTAGATTATATGTTATTTATTTTGTGTCTTGTCCAAATATTTTCTTTATAACTAATACTCGAAGGTCTTCCTCTTATCTTTTTTTTTCTTCCTTTATTGGATTTAAAGCAAACCCATTCAGTTAGATTGCAATTTTCAGGCCATGATCTTAATTTTAGTTCAGTGTTTGAACCTTTTCCAATATTTCTTAATATTGAAAAGCATCTATAACACATTTTTTGAGGATGTATATTTGAGTGGTCTTTACCGATTCGGATAAAAAAACAAAATTCTATTCTAGCAATGTGTTTTGTTAAAAGAACACTATCATTATCTACACTTTCTCCACATATTCTGCATAAAGTTTTTAGTTTTGTTTCATGAGACTCTACGTTTTTTTATTGCTAAAATGTAAGATTTGATTTACAAGATTTCTAAACTTAAAAAAGTAACCGGACTCTGATTTTTTTTTTATTATAAAGTTGAAACCTTCTTCTTTTAAAATATATACAGCTTTATAGCATAAAAATTCTAATAAATCCTTAATTATTATGTTTTAGTAGTTAGGATGACCATAAAATAATTTCCGACTTTCCCGCGTTTTTTATTACATAAAAATTAACAAATCTAAGTATTTCAAACTAAATGTGTTTTCCTTGGCCATATATTTTATTAGTTTATGAATTTATATCTGGTATAAATATCTTCAAAGCAATGATATGACCTTTTTTTATTAGGTTACGATAAAAACCATAACAAAAAAAAATCAAAATTACGATGTTGTTGTTGTTTTTAAAGTAACGCATGCGCATAATAAATGTCCGCAAACGCTTAAACTTAAACCACCGTGTGCCCACTAGGCAGCTTTAATAATTAATAGCGAAGTTAGAATTATGACGTTTTGCAATATTAAAAAGCATTTATAAAAGGTTTTATGCATTAGAAACTTATTTGCCGAGATAATAAAGTTGGATTGTCTTAATTTTGCCAATTAATTAATCTTATTGTGTCGCGCTTTTCTAAACAGGGCGATAAGCGCATCATAATTTTATTTACTGTTTGTTTCCCACGTCATACAGCTGTTGATCTTGACAAGCTTGTTTAACTTTTATCAAGGTCGTAGAAATAGATAGACGTTCAACTTATTATATAACAGAAACCCCACTAATAACTAGTATCCTGCGTTATATTTTTTTACGTCTTTTTTTTTTTGATTTAAATCTGTACCAGTTTTATATATTTTTATTCATTTGTATGCAACAAAACTAAAATTATTAAAAAAATGTAAAATAATGAAATGCAAATAAAACTTGACGCATAAACCCACCCAGACAGCAAGCTTACATGGGCCCAACGTAAGTTTTAACATTGGCAAGCTTATTCCGTTGGGCCAACATTTAGCCTAAGTTTTTTTCGGCGTATTATTTTCAATTCTGCAAATCAGTTTTTTTCCAAATATCGTACTATATTGGGCCAAAATTTAGCCAATGGTTTTTTTCTGGCGTAATATTGCAATTCTACAAATCGATTTTTATAATATGAACGTTGAAAAGTCGATGTTGGCCCAATGCAGGTTTGATCATTGGTTAGGTATTGGCCCAACGTTGTGTACAACATTGGCCCAATGTTGTATACAACGTTAACCCAACAATGGCCCAACGTTGTATATAACGTTAGGCCAATGTTGTATACGACATTGGCACAACGTTGTATACAACATTGGCCCAACGTTGTATACAAAATTGGCCTAACGTTGTATGCAACATTGGCCCAATATCGTATGTTATATATCAGCCTAACGTTTTATGCAACATTAGATCGTTGTTACAAATAAGATAATTTGAAAAATTTTGAAAATTTATAAAGAAAAAATAGAATGTATGATACAAGTATAAAAATTTATTTGTTTAACATAATTGTTCGGTTATATATACATATTGCAAACACCAAACTTAAACCCAAAACTGACACATTGAGTTTTAAATAAAAAAATTCACTATAAAATTTATAAAGTAGTTTCGATATTGGCTGAGGTACTTGTTATTGAATCGTGTTTAGCTTATGATATTTGATGCCCACGATTATTATTTTTTCTTCCGCTATCTCTATCACATGTCTGCAAAAGCCATGCTTATTTGACTTCACAGTTTCTGCAAAAAAAATAGTTGTTTGTTTAATTATGGACCAAAGAAATATAACAAATTAAAAGTAATTCTGTAATGCAAAATTGAAACTGAAAAAATATACTTTTCTAAATCACTTACCAATAGCAAAATATGCAATCAACATTTATCCAATTCCAATTTTTTGTCCTCTCTCTGCATAGTTTAATTTTACAGCTAGGCCATTTTAAAAAACTATTCTTAGCAAATAACATATATAATCTCCTTCGTTTTTAACTCCAATTTGTGCCAAATAATTGACCTGCAAAAATACACAACCTGGCCATATTTAAAGTAACTTTTGTTTAGACTAAAATTAATATAAAATGTTATTTACAAAACATCTTTAAAGAGTATTTTGTTTAAAGTATTTTAAATTGTACTAAGATATCATAAAAAATAAATAAACTGATCATAAAAAAATATTTTACCATTTACTTAAGTATTTTCTTGTCTTTTTTTTCCAGAGTACTTGAATTCTTCACTTCTTTTAACGGCAATGACACTCGTTCAGGCAATACAATAATTAGCATACCTTAGTTACTCAAATTTTTATAACTGAATTTGATGTGTTTTGTAGTTCACCAAGTTGCACTTCAATGCTTGCCCATTATGCCAATAAAACCAGCATATCTTTCAAGGATACAACTTTATCTTGAAATAGTAAAGTTAATTATATTATTATGAAACTATACAACTGATTACATATTATATTTAGAATTTATGAAAGTAAATACAACAGTCACTAATAAAGCAAATTTTTAATGATAAAAATATTTACATGCTAATGGATTCATAATATTTTTATGAATTATGAAATTTGCAGGTGTGCATTTAATTTCTGGCACTGACACAAAACAATTCTCGTTAATGTTTAAGATACAAATTGCACTGTAAAACAAAAAAATTCATATTAAAACAATGTTTCTCCAACAGGGTTCGTAGCCAACTATTTATATAAAGTTCAATGACATGAAAATCAGATGAATTTCCTTGACCATTTTTAACAATGGTTTTTACAAAATGTTTAAAATTACTATCTAATGTAATGGAAATGCTAAGATTGTACATGCTTTGAATGACAAAACTTATAAAACTTAGCTATTAGTTAAGTTGGATATTAGTATAAAGCTTATTATATAGTATGGATCTTATTATTAAGGATGACTAAGAATGAACACTAAGAAAAATAAAAGTTTCAGAAAAAATAAATGGGTAGCACCAAAAAAAACATAATAGCTTAATTGAGCGCTGTATTTTAAAAATGTGACAAGTCACAAAATTAAAATTTTATAAGAGAGTGAAAAACATTTCTCCAGTAGAAAATTTTATTTTTATTTTATCTAAAAATTGTTTCTTTTATCTAAAAAAAACTTTTTAAAAAAATTTTAAAAAAAATTTGTTTTATCTTATAATTTTATCTTTTCCTAAAAACAAAAAAATCTTTTACAATAACCTCACTTTTAAAAAAAGTGTGACTTATCACGTATACTGCATTCAATTGTGAAACGAGTCATCACGTATACAGCATTCAATTGTGAAACGAGTAACTTCTTAACTAGAATTACAGATTTTTCCTAAATATCTAAAGAAAAAAATAGTTCCCTGACTTTTTTTACGTTACATATGTTTGTAATTAATCTTTATAAAACTTCAAAAGTTTTTTGTATTTTAAAATTATTTAAAAAAATAGCCGCAATTGGTAGGAGTCAAACCTCTAGTTCCTTATTCAGAAGTTCGCCGCCTTATCCACTCGAGCTTCACCGGCATATCATCGAGTGTAGATTTTATAATAATGAAGTAATTTTTTTGAGGAAAAATATTTTAGATCAAAATTAAGGAGAGGTTGGCGCAATGTCATTTTCAAAAAAAGTCAAACTGTAAAACATAATAAATGTTTCATTATGTTTTAACATATGCTTTAACATTACTTAGTTTAAAGTTTACGCACGTTAGATATTCGTTCACGTATTCTTATAGTGCTGCGACTCTTTCTTGCCAATACCTCGGTTGCAATGGCTGCCAAATACGCTCCAAAGTACACTACTACAATCAAGTTCGGTAATATTATATAGAAGATATATATATATATATATATATATATATATATATATATATATATATATATATATATATATATATATATATATATATATATATATATATATATATATATATATATATATATATATATATATACATATGCATAATATATAAAAAAAACTGTGAAGAAATGCTACACAAATTGTGTAGTTTTGTACACATTAATTGTGTTAAAATGGCGACAACACAAATTTGTGTAATGAGGTACACAATAAATGTGCAGTTATATATTTCTACCCAAAATTGTGTGAAAAGTGTACACATTGATTGTGTAGCTTGCACATATTTTTGTGTATACAAACTACACATTATAGGTTGTACTTTAGTTCAAAAAATGTGTAGTTTCAACACATTATTTGTGTGCATAGTGGCACTTTTTTATGTTATTTATTACACATTTTTGTGTTAATTATTACACATTTTTGGTGTTTTTCTTCTACTCTGTATTATAACTACATAATAAATGTATTTGAAGTAAATGCACATTTGGTCTACATGTATAATTAAATACAACACATTATTGCTAAACACTGCCTCATCTTAATATGCATAAACATGTCAATAACAAATTATTAAGCACATTGAAAGCACGATATGAATTCAAATGCAACAATGTACAAGAAACACCAAAAATGAATTACTCAGTAATTTAAAAAAATGACAGTTAGCACCAATTGTCATTTTGACTAGACATTGTCTAACTGCATTACATCTTTATCATTACATCTTTCACTGAGTATAAAATATAAGCACATTGAAAGGAACTATATATTATTGCACGCTATGAATTCAAACACAACAGTCAAAATGAATTACTCAGTAACTCAAAAAATGACAGTTAGCACCTGGTGTTATATTGACTAGAGTTCTCTAACTGCATTACACCATTTATCATTACACCTTTTACTAAGTTATCAATAAGAGCTATGTAACATCTTTTCTATATTAGCCTATTAATGACCAGGAGTGCATTAACGAACTCCTGCTATGACTCATATCACCTAATTGCAATAATTTTTTGAATTTCATAAAATTAAAGTGATTATGACACCGTGCTTAAACCTTGTGATAAAAAAACTAAGCAATTTTTATGATATAGACAAATCTTTAAGCAACGTAGTTGCTTTGGCAGAGATTTTGCTTTTCATTTCAAACATATATACCTCAAGAAAATTATAAAATGACATAAGCTGAAATGGATATCTGACATTAAAAACAAAAAAACGTTGAAAATAAATCTGAAAGAGCATTGGCCGCTTTCGATGGCTTCACTAACAAGGCACGACTATCACAAATAATGTAATAGGATGCTTCCTCAGTAGCAACCATTTTTAAAATGTACGGCTGAAACCTTTTGTTCTCTTGATGGCAAGATTCCAAGTATGCTTCCAAACTATCACCGATCTGGTAAAAAAATAATAATAAATAATGTTTTGAATCCTACTTTATGAAAAACCAATTAGTGGTTGTTATAAAGTTGATAGCAAATAAGCTAAAACCATTGTTTTAGTTTATCATATAAAATGCATTTAAACTATTATTATTATTACTATTATTATTATTATTATTATTATTATTATTATTATTATTACATGCAAACGATAATATACAATGATCATTAACATCGACTTACTTTTATCTCGTTGATGAAATATTGGCGGGCATTTTTAGCTGATGTCCGATGCTTTCCCATGATAGGTAGCATGTCCAGCAAACATAGCATCGTGTTTTGACTCGTTGCATCTAATAACAAATAAATAGGGTTTTTTTACATACTTTTACAATAATTTAAAGTGCTTACACATAATTACAATCCTGAATAATTAAATGTTGTGCCTGCGGTGAAATTTTCAAAGTTCTGCTTAAGCTCAAGGGATTTGCCTTTGCCAACACAATAACGAAGCACTTTTAGAGCGAGCTTGCTTTCAAAGTATGCTGCTGGATCTTCTCTTAGACTAGCAGCCATACTTTTGAAATCTTGTTGTACCTTAAAATCATATGATCGAATATTTTACAGAAACCAACAGTTAATGAAACTAGTTTAGCTTATATGTATGCAGACAAATTGTAAAATGAACATTAATATATATCAACACTAAGCATTCTTTTTGTGCTTTTATCAAGTAACAATAATGAGAGTTGTATGTAGGATTTTGCATAGCTATAATAAAATACTTGAAATAAATGTAATGAAATTTTTTGAAAGAAACGAAAAGAATTTTGTATATAATTAGGTTTATTTATTATTTTATTTGGTGTATATCTCGAAAACTAGGCAATGTATGAGTTAATTTTTGCTTTTTAAAACTTAAAATTAAGCAATGTATGAGTTATTTTTAAAAGAGAAACTTAGCCTGGCACATCTATAAAACGAGGGTATTTCTGAAGGATCTGAGCCATTTTAGGTCCAGCAGAACCTCCACCCCCTTTTATCAAACTCTGCCGATAACTGCACTTTTTAGCCATTAACGTATAGATTTTGTCTACGTTGGCCGATAATGGTACCAAATTCTGAAGCATGGCCGTTTTTAATTTGGCATCCTTGCCAAACACCTCCATAAATTGGTCAGCCGCTTGAACCACACTATCATTGACTGCTGTACATTAAAATAAATGCAATAAAACAGGCTGATAAAATAGATCAACAGCTGCATATTTAGCTATAGATTTACTTAATAGATTAACAGCTGCACATGTATCTATAACTTACTGAAGCCTAATTTGTTCACTAACACAATCGTACACTTAATTATAAGAAAACAATGACATACATAGTTTGTATCTTTGGCGATATTTTCGTTGCTGCTCAGGTAGTTGGCGTTGAATCTGCCTAAACCGGTTTTGTATAAAACCTGTCCCATCTGATGAGTAATAATGTTCCTTGATAAAAAAAAAAACAAAAACAGTTTACTTTTTAAATTTGTATTGAATGTACACAAACAACAATTTTGACTTACTTTTCAGATTCTGATGACAAAATTGGTTGTCATACTAAATTGTTATATAGAGCAAATATGGCATATTCATATATACTCGGTTAAACACATAACAATAAAATGCATGCACATACATATACTATTAGCTAATTATCAGTATTCAAATAAATACATAATCAGTATTCAAATATATGCATTCTTACATATCCTTCGCCGAAACTTGATTTATAGTTAGGAAAAGCTTCTATTATGCTTTTTGCCATCAGCACTTTCTTTTCTGTTGGTGGATAACTAAACAAAAAATAAATTAATTAATGCTTTCTTGCACAACAACCCAGTGGGCATTTCGACGTCGAACGAACGTCGAGCGACGTCGGATCTCGACGTCGGATCGACGTTGGGTTTACGTTGGAAATGGAAATGCTATTTGACATCGGATAAACTGACATCGCACGACGTCGGCATTCCGATGTAAATCCAACGTGTTTTTTGAAAACTAAAAATTGTTGCCTTAGGCAGGTATCGAACTTCGGTCGATTAGAAACTAAATCCTACGCGCTTACCACTATACCACAGCGACTTATTAATTAATGTGTTTATTTAGTAATTTATACTTGTAGCTATTTGGGAATTATTACTTTGATAAGAAATAATTTTGGTTAGATATTATATAAATATTAAAACGAATAGTTATATATTATAAAAAATGTATACTCGAAAATGTTAATAGTTAAAAAACTATGCTAGTGCATCGTACAAAACCTCATAATGTTTTATCAACCGTTATTCAAACTTCTTTCCATTAAAAAAAAACACGATTAGTTCACATATTTATTGAAGAGCGCAATTGCACACATATTGTTGGGTTTGGATTAAATTTTCATCAGCGATGTCTTACGACGTTGTTCCGACGTCGTTTTAAGGACGTTGGATTGACGTCGGAAGACGTCAAAAGACATCAGAGTACGTTAATATTATGACGTTGCCCGACGTCTTTTTATCGACGTTGGATCGATGTCAGTACTGCGACGTTTTTTGGACGTCTTTAATAAGATGTCGGAACAACGTCAAAATACATCGAAACGACGTCAGGGGATGTTGAGATAAAGACATCGCCCGACGTCATTTTACTGACATCGGAACAACGTCGGAATAGGTCTTTTGACATCGCTGATGAAAATCGTACGTAAATCCGACGTCGGATTGACGTCGGGTGCCCACTGGGAATGTAAATATTTGTTAAAGGTAACACATCGAAAACAAATCATTCTACCATTTCGCACAAAACTATAATTCTAACTGATCTGCCAACCCATCATCAATTGTATTTAACATAACAATGATTAAAATGCACATTGTTTTAATTTATCCAATACTTTAATTATTAAATATTAGTTTTTTTATAATTTTTATTATTATTGTTATTGTTATTAAAATTATTACTATAAGCTTAACAGTAAATAAGCTTGATTACTATTGTTAATACTTAATATTAGCATAATTTTTACCGTATTGTTATTTTCGCTATTATTGTCGAGTTTATCTATTTCTCAATTTGAGTTTAAACAAGCTAACATTATATAAAATGTAAAAATACATACTCTCCAAATAAGTCAATGAAATAACTACATACTGCCTTGACCATTGCCAAACGAGCTTCACGGCTTTGTTACCCTCTTTAACTACCCACTTTTCTTGTGGATGCTTCTTTAATGCCACAATAATTGAAACGTCTATAGATATTTAAAAAGAATGATGATTAATACATTCATTTATTATAGTTTACTCAAATGCACTATGTATACACTATTTTTCTTTAACACATCAAATTGATTTATAATATTTGAAGCATAATTTTAGTGGCACCTTATGAGAACATAAGTGTTTTGGCACATGCGTGTTAATCCGTGATGCCGATTAATTTTTTTTTTTAATCGATTAACCGGCAACGTGGTCTATTAATTAATCGATTAATAATCGATTAAAAATAAATGCCTATGACGTCTATGTTAATAAGTTAGGGGGTTTGAATGGTGTGTACTTTATACTTGCCTATTCCAGCATGCGCTGCAATACTCATATTTTTGATTTTGATAAAATTTATGCATTTTGGGAAAAAAATAATCAAAAACTAAAAAATTATTCGATTAAAGGTTTGGGCGATTAATAGGACAATTAATCGATTAAACGTCACACCCCTACTAAGTTGTATTCAAGTGTGCATGTATGTGAATGTGAATGTACACTTCTGCCCGTACATACAAGCACACATATACAAAAACACTTACAGTTACATGTACACATTTTATAGTAACATACTTGAAATAGATTTTTACTATAAGATATAATACTGTAATATATACCGTTATTACTTGAAATCACAATAACAGGCACGTCCCTTGGTCGTTTACGTACAACTTTCTTGCTCGTGCTTGGCTGTTCCTCGTCCATGTCTTCCATGTGATGCACATCTGCAGCTGAAGTTAAGCTAGTCATGCTGGTTTCTGGTGTAGAAGTCTGCAATGGTTCAAATGTGTTGTCTGGTGTGCCGGGTATTATAGATAATGTTGCCAAGCTTCTGATAGCTTCATCAGCATTTAAAGCATAGACTATTGCACCGGGATTTAAACATTGCACAATTTCATCATCATCATCAATATCTGTACCATCAACCGTTTTGAACAAAGTGATATCAAAACCAAGCTTTTGGGCAGCTACATAAAAAAATTTTACATAGCCAAATAATAAAAAGTGAAATAAACAAAATTGAAATTACAGAAATCGGATTCATAATTGTCGTTTGATTTTACACAGCAGGTTATTCAACTCGTACGATATGAACTGATCTTAGTGAATTAACAAAAACAAAAATGAATACAACATATAAAGCCAATAACAATGCATAATAAAATTTGAAGATGAAATGGTTATTTAGAGATGCTAGTTATAACTGCATGACGAAGAGCAACGAATGAATACTTCGATCTCGTGCCAGAAACAGTATGCAAAGCTAATGGATAATAGTCCAGCAGTTCATCATACTCTAGTACTACACTTTTTCCACAGTCATCATCTTCAACTGCAAAAGCATGATAATGACTATCATAATAATGAGTGTGCAGTTCTTGGCAAACAAAATAAATGCCACCATGAGTTAAAATAAACTCATCAATAATTACAAATTTGAGACACTCATCCGATTGTCTACCAACAACTAAAAAATCTCCACTGAAATAATCCGTTCCATTAATCATTGTATGTCTACAAACATAAACTTCATCCAATATGCCAATGCACAATTTGTCACATACAGCAAATGCTGCCTTTAATACTCGCACAAAAATTAGTTCTCCAGCACCACTATTTACATCCCTGCCACCAATTTTTTTTTCAAAATGCCAAGTCAAACACTGATGAATTTGTTGTTTAAGAGCTACAGTTTTACACACATTTTTGAAACTTGTAGCTGATTTTTTCAACTGATTATGTTTTGCCTCAAACCGCATACATCAATATCGACATGCCGGACCAGACTTTTGAAGACAAGCAGGATAATGAACTAAATTATGAAATTTAGGTGTCAATCGTTTTGTTGGAAATAACTTCCTGTACATTGTGTGGTTATCAAATATAAGTTGATCTAAATATGAAATCATGCCATGCGATATCTTAGGACACAAAATAATGTCTATAATCTCCATTAAAAGGATTTCACAAGGATTTCACATGTCTATAATCTCCATTAAAAGGACTGTGAAAATGCTTATTGGCAACCGCCAATAAGTATTTTCACAGTCTATAAGATCTCCAATTATTAAACCAATAGGTCTACTTAAACACAGATATTGAGCAGCACGCTGACCCAGAAGATTATCACCTGACTTCAATTTGTCTAAAGTTATACAAGACGGCGTATTTCTTTTTTCATGTGTGGCATAGCGAAATGCTTTCAGGCGAGAATTGAGCTGATTACATGTAAAAAGTTTATCGACAATAATAAGCTGGTATAAAACTAATTTTAACACATTAGGAAAAACGCCTTCAAATATATCGTGCATAGCATCCACACAATAGTTGTCAGTAACTTTAAAATAATGCAAATCATTAAAAAGTGATTGTCGCTTTACACCAGTATTTCTTGTGTTGCAGTCTTGCACGTCTTTTTCATGCTGTTTAGCAGTTCTTGGTTCAAAATCTCTGGCTCGGTGGTGATCTTGAATGCTTTCAACAGTTGCGTAACACAATCGACATATACAACCAAAAGTAAAACTCTCTTGAAAACCTAACTTTCCATGAGCACCTAAATTGTCAGCCAAAAACAAAACAACAGTGCCCTTAACTGTCTGACATGCTTTACCGAGCACAATTTCAAAACCTTTGTTTCTAATGTTTTAATATCCTTAATCATTTCTTCAAGAACTGATTCATATCCACGCGTAGTTTTTGTATCTTCTGTATAAAAAAGACATACCAGATGAATATGCATAAGGCGGGAGTTTAAATAGGATGGCAAGTTCCGTATCATCATATAGACTGCACCTAGTTTGTGAATTTTTGTTTTCGAGCCTAACGGATTAACGGTTTCAAAATCGTCGAAATATAAATGTAACTGTAAGGCATCCGAATTTTCTATAAACAGTTGACATTCTTTGAAACGAGAAGCATTGCTAAAGTCACTTATTAAATTATTTGTGTTCCTTTGTTGTTTTTTTTAAGATGTCATACATATAGCTATAAACAAATCTAATTGTCTGATGAATTGGTATATACTGGTATGTATTAGGAATAGGATATTGACATATTTATCCAGTTTCCTTATCTAAACGGGATTCATAACGAACAAATATTGGACGTCCAACCGTCTCAACAAATTTCATATGATTTTTATAGTGTTTCAATTGCTGTTCAAAGTTTCCTACTTCTTTCAAAGTTGGCTTAACATTTTCGATTTCTTGAATTACTGATTCAAGTTGAGTTTTGGTTGTGGATATATGAACTGCATCTAAATTATTTGCAACATTCTTTAATTTATCAGAAAACATTTGACACAGCCTCTCTAATAAATCAGTAAATCCCTCCTGTATAATATCTAAGCACCCATACTTAGCATAAACTTTAAACAGTAGCTGTCTTAGCTGTTCTTTAAAGTCGGTAACTTTATCATTTCAGGCTCTTCTACTTGCTCACTCATTTCAATTTCATCACACAGATTTTCTGGTTCATTATCAACTTTTTTTTGTTCCATGGAGCTTGCATCTGTCGAAGTAAGCTTATGCTTTCTACGTAAATGAGTTGATAATGAGCTTAAGCTATCAAAATATCTCATACAGCCATCTTGTCCACAATGAAGTGCTACTTTATCATATTTAGCTTAGCTAAATATGATAGAGTCTCATATATATCTCAAATATGATAATGTCTCACGTGAAAATATGTTAAGAAGTTCTTAATTGTAAAAACATCAATACTTTTTCTACATAAACAGTAGTAATAGCCCATTGTTTCGTGTAGAAGAAACCTAATTGTTTGCACTTTCTGTTTGAGATGACTGCTTATAAGAAAAGTTATGAATAACAATACTTAATGTTTATTACCTTTAGTTTTTTCAGCCAAATTACTGCATACCACAGCTGCTTTTACCGAACCGTCTAGAGTCCAAACTTCCAACAACTTATTAGACATCTACAAGCAAATAACTATTTACAACTAGAAACACAAGATTATATTAATTAAATCATATTATAAGATGCATCAACAACGAGTTATATTAGAATAATACAGTAAAATCAATTAAAACCATAATTTCATACAAAATATAATAAGTTATTTAAAATAAAGGTTAATAATAATTATTATTATTGTTATACACCACTAAATCAAAAGAAACTTAAAAACCATAGCTTAATAACAAGATGTAATGTGTTCAGTAAAAACAAAAACATCACACTGATAAACTTAAAAGCGACTTGTTTGCAATTGAATGAAAAAGTTACAATAATTACGGACAAAATTTAAAATATGTCATTAAAGTACGTCATGCTAGTATTTATGCATTAAATCACAATAAAAATAAACTTATTTTCCTTATTACTCTAATTAGTGATTACAATTATAATTGCAGGGTGTAGAGTGATAATAGACTTAAACTTCTTCTTAACAATATGCAACTATTAAACAAATTTGACAAAAATACTAATTAAAACATGACTTATCTAACGGTTTTGAAGTAATACGATGCACAGTGAAAGTAAACAAAAATATTAGAAAGACTTGCTACTTATGACAGTATTCATTAGCTACACAAGTTCTGATTTCTGATTAAAATTGTAATTAAGTATAAATTGGTATTTGACCAAGAGCTATTTTACAGTTTATGTACTAACACTAATTATCTCTCATGCAAAAACATTACTAGAAATCAAATAAGTTTGCAGATTTAATTAGCATCAAATACAATGTATTACGCAAATATTTGAATAATCATCTACATTTGCCTTAGTTACATTTACACAATTGTATCTACTATAATTGTGCACCAATTAATGCAGCATGTATATTGAGTAAAAGTATATAAATGTGAATAAAGAACAGCAAATAAAAACAAAAGATTTAACTACTCTTTTGTATTGTAACACCAAGGTATTATTTTTAAACATATTGTAACAAAAAATGCTTCTTACCAAAAAAAACTAATATATTTTTTTTTTCTTCTCTTTGTTCGAACTTCGAAATTGATTTCCCTCCAAAACGAAACCGCTAACACGCAAGTGTCTTATTAAAATGGCGGCTACACAATTTTGTGTTAATTCTACACATCATTGTTTGAACATAAAAATACACAAATTTTTGTGTATCAAAACTACACATTTATTTTTCCAGTGTATATATATATATATATATATATATATATATATATATATATATATATATATATATATATATATATATATATATATATATATATATATATATATATATATATATATATATATATATATATATTATGCAGGTTAAAAATTTCAGTAAATAAAATTAATAGAAACAAATAAAAACAACATAATAGATTTAATTGAAACAAGAATCAAATTAATGAAATATATATTATAAGTTATAAATATATATTATGTAGCCACGATGCTGAATAGACAAAAATATGAGAAATCTGATTCGCTGATTTTTTTCAAAAAAAATAATTAAAATCAAAACAACCAGATTTTTGAAACAAATTTTAAAGTATAGTTAACCAATACACATCTTGTGTTATTATTAACAAAGAAAGTTCAATTTATTTTATTACTCTTCAGAGTATTTTAAAAGGTATCAAAATCTATTCGTACAAGAGAATTTTTAATAGTAAAAATCTCAAAAATTTTAATAAAGCTTATCTTGATGGTGGAGATTTTATCTTTTGTTTATTTAATTAAATAAACTACAGATAAAATCTCTATCACCAAAATAAACTTTAAAGCCAAAGACAAGGACATATTTTACGAGAAAAGAATTTGTAAATCGTTTCGAATTTACTTCAACACACATATTTTCTTTTATTTCTTTAATTAAAGAAATGGAAAAAATGTGGGTGTTGAAATAATTTCGAAACAATCTACAAATTTTTTTCCCGTAAAATATATCCTTGGGCTTAAAGCATACTTAAGTTCAAAGTCTATATACAGTTGTACGAGATTACTGGTAAAGTACTTTTGCATATAAAGATTATATGCAGTTTTACTAGACTACTGGTGAAGAACTATATTTATAAATTGATTTATATGTTAACTAAAACGACCCGAACATTAGAATTTTTAAATTAATAGCAAGATAAAGTATTGATGACAAATAAGTTAAGTAATTAAAAGTGGATATGGCATCAAAAAAATTCAAATGGCTGTGGCATTTTTTTATCGTAATAATTGAAAAAAAAAATTATTTCAAAAAACTAAGCAAAATGGTTAAATTAAACGTTTTAATAAAAAAAAGTAATGAAGAAAAGACAATAAAATTATCATCAAAAAAAAAAAAAAACAAGAACAGTTGTTATACTATGAAAATGTTCTTGTTATTATAAAACACATTTTATAATATTTTGTATGAAATATTTAACTTGAATTTGTATATTTGCAATTTTGCAAGATTTCAAAATATATTTCTTGTCAATTGTAATGTCCATGCTCTATATAATTTGCTTGATACAAAATTTATATGTAGTTGCACCAGATTACTGGTAAAGTACTTAGAGTAAGCAAAGCGTAAATTTTAAGCTGATGCAGAGGTTTTTCTATGCTTGTTACTGCATCTTTATACCAACTAGTTAATTATAATGTTTATCGTTGAAGTTTTTGAAAAAAACAATTTTTTACAGATGTTTTTCAAAACTAGCATACATGTTCCATGTAAATCTACGAACTCTTAAGAAGTTACTGTTTAACCTAATTTTTAAAAAGACTCAAAAGGGGTACGTCAACTATTCATAAAATTTGGAAATACGGAATACATTTTATTTAAGTTTTTTTTCATTTTTCTAGAGTAGACATTTTTTTTCTCTTCGAAGTATATAATGTAAAATAAATTTTTAGCATAATGAATTTCAAATTTATCAAAGTTTGTTGCTTTATTTATTTTTATTTACTATCAGTTGCTATCATAGCTTAAACATTTTTTACCAATTATATAATGCAATAACCAATATTTTGTTTAGGTTAAAAGCTATATGTTAACAAACATGTGCTTTACATGTATTGAATTTTCAAATTTAAATCAACAACAACATTAACTTGTATGATTGCAATTTTTTTTTTTTCTAAATTTTTATACCTACTTTTTCATAAAGGTGTGGTAAGTTATTGCTTTTAGTAATTAGTTTGCTATATCAAAACACACTTGTGGACATTAGGTTAAAGATTATTTCTTCGATTTGGTTTATAACCTTTTATTACTATAAAAAAAGATAATAAACTATAATAAGAGATTATAATTACATGATTTATAATCTTTTATTACTATACATTCCCAAAGGCAATCTAAATTAGCTCTTGCTTACAATTGTTTTTAATTTGAGAGTGTTGCAAATTTCCTGGGTTAGCTATAACAACCAATAAGCAATATTCTCAAACTTAAAATGTTTTATTGACGTTTATAACTTATATATGGGAGTAATAAGTGTGAAGTTCTAAAAAAAAATTAGGATAAAAAATTATCCCAATTTTTTTCTTGCTAAATGATAGGATTAATAGAAATTAATTTTGAACAAAATTATACTAAGTTAATATTATTTTATTAATATTACTAGTTACATTTTAAAACTGTTTCGAAAAATCTATCATATGAGAATCACAGCATAGTCAAGTTTTTCCATCTGGTTTATACTTTGTTACAGTACTTATCTTAGATTTATAAAAACCATTAGGAAAACACACTAATTTTTTAAAATCTTTATTTTTAAGATGGGATTTTGAAAGTCTTGGATATTTTAAGTTAGGAAGATTTGTAATGTATAAGTAATATATTGTACAAAATTGGATAGAAAAGAAATATTTTTTCGTATTATTATTTGGTGGTTTATGCAATTACTCGATTTAACTTTTCATATTCAATACGTTTTTGACATTTGTTTTGATTTAAACATTCTCGCAATAGCCTCTCTTTCAAAATCAGCGAATTAGATCGCGCATATCTCGGTCTATTCTGAGCCTGTATAGGGTTTTGCGGCCGGATTTTTGGCCAGAATTTTATAAATATCTCCAGCAAATCCTGTTACGGCCGGAATTCAAAATTTTCAATCTGGTGCATTCCTAGATGTAGCACCATTATTGATCTACAAATATGAGTGGCTGCCTTTGGAAATAACACTAAACATTTCTTCCAGTTGGGCACTAGGAAAAAGTAATTTCGGTTGGATACAGTCGGAACTGTTTTATGAATTCTTGACAAACTTTTTTTACCTTTGGCTTAAAGTAATTGATATAACTTTTCCTGTTATTTTATTTGTCGATGAACATGTTTCCCATTTAAATATGCAAACAAGTCAGTTCTGCAACCATATTGGGATTTTCTTGGTGCCTTAATATCATAATGTACGCACAATTTACAGTCTACGGTTGTTGCAGTGTTTTGCACTTTAAAAGAGAATTGGAAGCATTATTTTTATGAGTGGCACAGCAATGATTTTGAAGAAAAAATATTTTATCAAACTGCTAAAAGAAATAGTGGATAAACATGTTACTCATTCTAAGTTACTAACCGTTTCCGCAAGTGTCGGCTCAATTTTTGGGGTTCAACCGTACCAAAGGTTCCAGGACATAAAAATAACATAACTGTGAAGAATGCTGTGCCAAATGACGACATGCACTCGTCTTTCAATTTTGTTGAGCAGGAACTGCAATTCTTAAATGAGAGTATAGGGAAAAAAAAATTGGAACTATCTGAGCAATCTGCAATTTGATTGAAGAGGGGATTTTTCTGACAGATCACTTTTGTTGTTGTGGAAGAAAACTGATTTAGAACTTAAAAAGCTTTCTTTTATAGATGATAAAGATACTCCAATCGCAAAACCATCACATGTAGTATCCCCCATTGTTAAAGGCAATGAAGATATCACAATCACAAGACCGAAAAATGTACTCATAAATCTCCCATAGATAAAAAAACGAAGATACTGCAATTGCTGGAAAGTCAAGTATACCATCTCTGTTTAAAAAACATAAATTCTGTCCCCTTGTTGTTGGTAAGAAAATACCACAGAAAGAAGTCTAAAAAAAAAGAATACCCCATATAGTGTCTGGGGAACTTGGCCAATTGCATTTCCAAAAGAAAATCGAAAAAAAAAATAAACGGAAAGACTGAAACAAGAAAGAATAGCTAAAAGGGAAAAAAAGAAAGAAGAGAAAACGAAAGAAAAAAAGAGTTTAGAAATTAAGTGAAAATTAAAGAAATTCAGACTCTATTTCTATTCCTAAGCTAAGCGATGATAAAGGTTATTACTGGTATAATATACTTCATATGAAAAATTAAATTATTCTGGAAACGGATGATATTTTCCGGGGAAGTTAGAGCAGGTTGTGGCTAATGGATACGAGATAGCCACAATGGTTAAGACTGGAATTTCTTCTTGTTTTTGGCCAGATAAGGAAATTAAGCTTATTTATATAATATTTATAATGGAGCAAATCCAATGGAAAATCCTCCCTTTAAACTTGTGTTCTCGATGTGGATCATACCTTGTACCGTAAATGAACGCCTATTTGTCATTTCAAATGTAATAAAATTTGTTGACATAAAATTTAAAATATAAAAATTAAAATGTTGTCTTTGTTGTGTTCTCGACATGGGTCATACATTATACCAGAAATGAACGTTAATTTAACATAACTTTCAGATCTTATCATCGAGAACCGCTCGTGAATATTAAGTACATTAAATTAACATGAACTATAAAATTAAAGAAACACAACAATGTCGAAGTAATAATTAGCGAGAACATAAATTTCGTAAGAATATATAAATAAAATTGATATGAAGAAATTCTGGATTCTTTTATAAATAAATACAAAAGTATTTTAAAAAGTACTGTTTTTATAAATACATAAGGTGTGGATTAGATATACTATTATATATTACCTTATGTCATAAGCTTCATATTCATTTTTAGAAGAATTTAAATATATAATAATATGTCTTCAAAAGATAAAATAATTTATTTTAATTTTTTCTTGAATTAAAGATAATTCTATTCATGTGAAATATCAAAATTTTCAAAACTATTTTAGTTCAAAAGAAAAGCTTCTCGAAATAAAACACATGACTTTCCAAAATTAACTAGGGAAAAAGGTTGCCAAATTAGATTATCATTTCTTAAGTTATTTTCATTTTTATCTTCTATGGTATATAGATTATGAAAAGAAACGTTGGTTTTACATTTGTGCAAAAAACAAATTATATTAAAAATATTCAGCTTATAAATATTAAGAATTTTCATTTGAAATAATAATGGTTTGGCATGAATAAATCGATCTTTTTAATTGGTAAAACAAACGACATGCTTCTGTTGACGATAAAGAGGTAGCAGTTTAGATTTATTGGTATTACCCCAGGCAATATTTGCATAATTTTTATGACATTCGTTTAAAGAGAAATATAATTGTGTTAAGCTGTACTTTTTTAAAGCATTTTTAGCTTTGTACATTACTCCTATATTTCGAGCAACTTTGATACAAAACAAATCAATGTGATACTTCCAACTAAGGTTTTCATTAATATTGGTTTCTAAAAAGTTAGTAGTTTGTTTTCTTTTTATTTGAAGTTTGTTCAGCCGTTGAATTTTTTATTTGAATTTTGTTCAGCCGAGCAGCCGTGGCGCAGTGGTAGCGCACTTGCTTCAGAAACGTAAGATCCGTGGTTCAAACCCCACCACTGGGCAAGTTTTGCGACATTGGTTGGGAAGGAGGCGTGAACTTCCTTTAAAATGCTCTTCCGTGGTGCCCTGTGATAAGAACGTAAGGACTTCTTGGGGCACCTTAATTAACTTAAAAAATAAATAAATAAATAAATAAAAAATAAGGGCATGGCCGGAGGCAGTAGCTTTTTTTTGAAGTTTGATGAAAAATGTATCTATTTAGTTTTCTCAACAATTAGTGAGCTTATTCATTTTAAAGCAGCCAGAAACTTTTGTTAATTAAATTTTCATATTTTGGAATAACGTTGTTGTGTTGTTATAAGACAAAAAGAGTTTGTATCATCGGCAAACATGACCGTAATTAAACTTGCGGCTTTAGGAAGATCATTAATGTAAATTAGAAAGAGAAGAGGTCCTAATATAGAACCTTAAGGGATCCACATGTTATATCTAATAAATTGAAAGAGACGGTTGTATTACTATGAACAAACTGTTTACGGTTGCCTAAATAAGTTTTAAGTATCATTAAAATATTTCTTATAATTCCATAATATTCTATTTTTTTGGTGAATTGTATCAAAGGTTTTTGATAAATTGATGAAAACACCTAACATTTTTTGAGATTATTCAAAAGATTCATTAATATTGTGGGTAATTTGAAGTGTAGCGTGTTCAAATGAATTACTTTTTTTAAATCTGTATTGATTTTGATACAGTATATTATTTGAAGATAAATGATTGAAAATTACATTATAAAAAATTATCTTTTAAATTAAAAAAAAAAAACAGACAAAATTGAGATAATTTGGGCAATAATTTGAAACATTGGTTGCATCAACCCATTTAAATATTGGTGAAACTCTGGCTATTTTTAGATTGTCAGCAAAAATATCCTGTTTTATTGAACATTTTAAAACTTGAAATAGAATATCTTTAATGACTTCGTACAAGTTAATATTAACATTGCAATAAATATCATCATGACAAATTGATTTATTAGATTTAAGCTTTTTTAAAAAAAGTTCAAATTTCTCAAAGGATACCTCATAGGAATTTAAGAACGAAGTTATTGGTGCACCATAATTATTTGAATTATAATTCGAATTTGTTAGAATTATTGGAATCCATTTTATCATTTTACAAAACCATAAAATAAAAGAATTTCCTTTAATCGCGTGTTATTAACTTGTTATATACAACCTTTACTTTTAAAGATAAATACCTTTTAATCGTAAATCTTTTGCAGCCGTAAACAATTTTTTCCGCAATTCGGTTGTGCTTCCGCTGAAATCCTCATTCACATAAATTCTTTGATACCAGAGTTTCGTCTTTATATACTTACCGAGTATTGCTGATTTGTACTTAAAATTTAAAAATTTGACCACGATAGCTCTGCATTTTTTAATTTTATCATTTTCATCATTTTTTACAACTCTCTTAGCCCGTTTAATAATGAATTCAACTTGAAGATCAAGTTTTGTTTTTATTAACTCACAAACATTTCTTTCACAATCCTAATCCTTTTCTTTCACATTTTACGAAATGTAATTTAAAATGACTGTTTTACCTATTTATCTAATTTTTTCTAAATGGTAAAAAACTCCATCTACAACAGTATTCTCAGATTAGTTTTCACCTAAACTCTCTAAAATTTGGTAATTATAAAAACATTCATTATGGGTGTTTATGACCCATTATCAAGAAGTAGTTTTCTATACTTCATGACTGCAGCATCTGTACAGTACAATTATTTAATCATGGGATCTGCCAGCGTAAAAACTTAAAGTAGTATGCAAAGTTAAAAAAATACATTATTGTCATCAAGAAAATATCTTGGCTGATAACACATGAACAGCCACGAATCCAAGAACGTATCCATGGTTTTTAAGCGTTTACAGAGATCTAGAGAAAGAAGTAAGAAAGTTAATCAAAAAAGTACACGGCAGTTCTAAGTTCCTACTGCTAATTTTATTTCAAAGAATATATTGATGTTGTTTGATTTGATTAATTCACAGCGGACGAAGCTACCACTAACAAAGCAGCTCACTGATCACCAGTTCAAGATCTTTAACAAAATTTGCCGTGTCTTACGGTTTCTGTTTCGGATAATAAAAAGAGATTGTGCGATACGTATTTCTCTGCAATCTAGGAGTAATACTCCAATATTTAACACCAAAGCATACCAAAACTATATGGAATATTCACCTGTTTAGATATAAAGCTTTTAAAAAAATAATCTTTAATAGACTAATAATAATGGATTTAAAAAGAAAGAAGCAAATAATTATTTGGATAAAATTATTGGAGTTTCTTATAACTTTTGTTTAACTTGGCCAAACATTGCTGCACGGGGGTAAGTCTTAGTTAATTTTGCTCATCTTGATCATTTTTTTTTTCTTCTTATAATTGCTTATGAAATCAGAGAGAAAATACCTTTTTTTAGAAGTTCAATAATTGAATTTCTCAAAAAATTTCACTGCGCCCACGAAAAAAACAACATCTTGCGTTAAGGATAAGATTCATAGTGTACGAGTAAATAGTGCTGCAAAACCACAGAGCGGCCGTCTTCAATCTAACAAAAAATTATGGAATTTTGTTTTTAGAATTATAACTCTCGTTGCACATGTGATGTAATGTAATTTGATTTAATTTGAGCAATAAAAATTAATTTTACGGCAGTGTATTTCTGACAAAAAAATTTTATGACGACCATTGTAAACAGCTTTTATAAATTGCTCTAGTGTTTGAACCGTTATGTTATAGATTACTCAATTTACTTACTCAGTTAAATTCCGAACTCTCATACACGCTAAATAATTTTTGTTATAACGAAAACTATTTGGTCAGGGTTAACTTTCTAAACCCTTATTAGCGAACTTGAACGTTAGTTGATATATATATATATATATATATATATATATATATATATATATATATATATATATATATATATATATATATATATATATATATATATATATATATATATATATATATATATATATATATATATATATTTATATATCTTTATTACTTAAATTGCATTAGGTTTATTATTTTGCATACAAAAATGACATTTAGTTTTAACTATACTTGTTTTACTTGCGCTGATTTTCTTACAGCAAGTTAGATTAGGTAAGTCGAGGGTTTAAAATAAAATGGCGAAAAAATTAGTTAATTGATTTAAAACTGGTTTGATGTTGTTAAATTTATTCTGTATTTAAAAAGTCTATTATTATAACTATTCTGTATTCTGTATAAAAAATTACCAATTGTTTTAAATAAGAAAATAAAGAAATGTTTTAAATAAGAAAAATGAAGTTCTCACAAAAGTCCCTTTGCAGCTTTAATAATGGCCATATTAACTTGCACGTAATTAAAATCTTTAGAATCGCCTCCTTTATCTGGGTGATGTTTGAAGCACATTTTTTTGTACACTGCATTAATCTCGTGATTAGATGCATTAACATTCAGACCAAAATATCAAAACGCATTTTCTAATGCTTCTTCTTTTGATACTCCAAATATCCATTGTGTCATACAATCTGAAAGGGCATTAGCAGCCGAACCACTTATTGTTCCAAAAATTATAGCACCTGCTACTGCGCCAACAGGACCAAAAATAGAACCAATAGAAGCTCCTCCGATTCCTCCTGCAACACTAGCAGCAGTAGTAGTAAGTGAATCTACTATATTTTTTCAACACCGAGATCCAGTTATTTCTCCGTTCCACCAGCGTTTAATGGATTTAATAGCATCGTAGCCAAGCATGACAGCTGCTAAAGCAGCCGTTGCAACATTTCCACCATATCTACTACCTAACCCAACAGTACCATCTATTAAACCTATAACAGCTTTGTTGTTTATCAAGTTTTTAATAAAATTCAAAACTTGATTTTGATATTCAAACGGTATAACTCTCCAAGCTGCTGCAAAACCCATCAGTCCAGCTTTCTCGAGGGCTTTTTCTTCGGTAAACTTTTTTATATTAAATTCTTGAAAGACTGCTACATCTGTCGGTGTTTTAGAATCCTTAAGCATATTTTTATAAATCTCTTCCATTTTTTTTTAAAAGGATCACCTTTTTTTGCTGGTTTTGTGCTTTCTGCGATACGTTTTGCATAAATTTTAAACATATCTTCATTATTCATTGAACATTTCAATGTTCGCCATTGTGAAGACACAATTTTCATATGTTATTTCTTCCTCATCCAAAAAATACATTACTCTAGCAAATGCTTCTGGATCTTTTATGAACACATTCATCATCATTGTAACAACATTTTCTTTCCAATCATTAGATGACATTACACTTTAATTGTTGATTTGAAAATATTTTGGAGCTGATCAAACCTAAAAGTTTACTTATATATATGCATATATATATATATATATATATATATATATATATATATATATATATATATATATATATATATATATATATATATATACATATATATATATATATATATATATATATATATATATATATATATATATATATATATATATATATATATATATATATATATATATATATATACATATATATGAATAAACTTTTAGGTATATCTAAATAAACTTTTATATAAATATATATAAATAAACTTTTAATACCAGCCAGCCTTATGATCATTAAACTGAGTTTTAGAGTTGAGTATCATTAAGTAGTAAAAGAAAGAGTTACATAGCCACTTTAATTTATCCCTAAAATACATTGCTACTGTTTTAATGTAAAAATACTTAGGGTAGGGTGGGGTAATATGGATAGGTTGGGTAATATGGATTTATTAAATTATAATGCATGGAACAAATTATCTTTTCACAATGTTAATTCCCGGAATATTACAACAGTTTACACACATAATAAGTTTTTTTTTTTGTTTTTGCTTTAAATGAATAATTTACCAACTAAATATGTAATTTATTGAATAACATAAAAAATTTTACGTTCAAAAACTTTTGCAGACTTCAGCAATACTGCTTAATCATAATGTAAGTTTATTATTAAGACCATGATGTAATAGCATGTTTAGCTTGATGTAACAGCATGTGTAGCATGTTGTAACAGCATGTGTAGCATGATGTAACAGCATGTGTAGCATGATGTAACAGCTTGTGTACTTTAATTTAAAATTTCTCCCACTCATATCGAATAAAAAGCAAAAATGAAAAATGGGGCAAAATGGATATATAGGTCAATTGTTTGTGCGGTAAAACGGATAGGAATAGCATTTTTAAAATACAATTAAAACTACAGACTTTTTTTAAAAAATTCCATAACAAGTATTTATATATTTATGCTTACTTTTGCTTTTCATTATAATAGTACATATTTAGCAGGTAAATATAAAAGTTGTATAAAATGCTATTAATTGATGTACAATTAGGGTCATTGTACAATTTTTCCTAATCCGAATAATTGACAAAAAAAGAGAAGCGGTTGTGGGTTTATTTTAAGTAGTAAAGAAAAAAACCTTTTAGTAAAAGCTCTGATGTACTCAGCTGGAACTGATTTTACTCAAGATAGAGAAGATTTCAGGCTGATGGTAAAGTTCTATGTAACATTAACGGGTAAAATATTCCATTCAAAAATGACAAGCTCAAAGAAGACTAGTGCATATTTTTTAAAAGAAGATGGAATGTCGTTCTTGGAAAAAAAAAGCCTGAATTATTGACAAAAGTTAGAGTTACTGATATATTTCTGAAAACATTGACAGCTTCTTTGAGATATACAAGAAAACATTCGATAAAAGCATATTATGGAAAACTAGTTTGCAGACAAACCTTACTGCTGAAATAATCTTTGGTCGGAAGACATCAAAGATTCTACCTCTCTTCGTAGTCTACAAAGCCCTTCACCTTTTTTAATGTATGGTGTAAAAATGAACCGGATGCATACAATATACAGTGTAACACAATCAGGTTGGATTGAGGACAATATTTTTGAAAGTTGGATTGACAGTTTAATTAAAATGTATAGGGTATATAAAAAATGTTTTACAGCTGCATGACAGATATAATAGTCATTTAACATTATTTATTGCTAAAAAAACTACGGATAGCGATATAGTTTTATTTTGTTAACAAAATTGTCAAACACAAGCAACGCGTTACATCCTCTTGATGTTGGTTATTTTTCTGCATTAAAATGTCATCGGTAGAAAATCCTTAAAAATTGGTTAAAAGAACGCGGCCATAAAAATGTTAGATAAAAATAGATGACAAACTTCTGAAAAGTGATGAAAAAGATAATTATGTTTTAAAAGGTTGTAAGGGCTCCATAAAAAGAATAGGTTGGTATTTTACCATCCATATCTTCTTTGAGCCCCTGTCTGCCTATTGTTTATACATTTGTAATTATATTTAACGTTTTGTGAAGGGGAATTGTAATTTATATAAACAGCAAAATAAAATAAAATTTACAATATAAAAAAAGTTTACAGAGAGCAATTGAGACTTAGACCTACTCTAAATGTACCTTTAACAGCACTTGCAAATGCAAAAAAAGTAGAGCCCACGTCCAAATAAAAAAAGGGGAACTTTTAACAGCAAATGATGTTGTGGCCAGGTTAAAAGAAGATGAAAAAAGACAGTGTCTGTCAGCAAAAAAGAAACTGCTAGATATAAACAATACAGCTATGAAATTTTAGGATATTTTCCATATATGGAGATAAGCAATTGAGATAAATGTTATAGATAAATAAATGTTACATTTTAAAAAGATAAACAGGGTACATATACCCTTTATGTGTATTCCCACCAGTGGGATAATATGGGTATATAAGATATTTCATTTTTTCAATTCAGTGTGAAGTTGTTGTATAAACTTTAAATGTAAAGAAAAACAATAATTTTTTTAATGAGGCTATTAAATAAAAAAATTATTAAATATAAGAAATAATAATATGTAAAATTTATTTTACATTATTCGTTTTTGTTTTTTTTTAAATCAATGCTATTACTTTTATAAATAACCGATTTAAAAACAAACGAAAAAGTAATAAAATAAATATTATTATTTTAACATTTATAAATTACTTGTTACTTGTTAATTTATACTTTTTATTTGCCATTTGTTACCTGTTACAGTCAACCTATTGCTTGCGTAAGGTAAGGTGTTTTTTTATCATTATTTTAAAAGTAAGAAAAAAGTTTTCTTAATAAAAATCAATAATAACTTTTTCACTAAAACCTTTCAAAAAACTTTTTTAATAAGTATTAAAACAAACTGTCTCACTAGTAAAATAAAGGTTTTTGTTTTTTTTTAAATTTCATAAAAACATAGCTTAAGTTTTCAAAAGTAAATATTTGACAAAAAAAATTAATACTAAAGCAGTTTGTATAGCTGTCCGAACCTTTTGAATACAGTATAATTAGTAATAAATGTAAGTCTATTCATTGACGGATAAAACAGATGGAAGCTTTGCAAACCTTAAAACAATTTTAAATTGTCTCGGGAGTAAGCTTGTAACCGACAATCGAAAAACGAGTTTCATTAGACAAAAAACATCAAAAATTCACAGAAATTATTTTTATTAAAACATTAAAAAAAGAATTACATGAAAAATACGCTTCATAGTTTTAACCATTTTTATTGCAGTTATTCAACACAATATTTACTAAAACTCGAGAATTAAATAAAACTACTATCACAAAATTCTTTCCTTGCGTATTAAGGAAAAAAA